CTCCTGGTCTGAGGGAGGAGGGCTGGGGGTCAGGACTCCTGGTCTGAGGGAGGAGAGGGCTGGGGGTCAGGACTCCTGGTCTGAGGGAGGAGGGCTGGAGGTCAGAGAGGAGGGCAGGTGTGGCACCCTTACCTGTCGATGAGCAGGCGGCGCAGCGAGGCAGTGACGAGGTTGGCCACGAGGGGGCAGTTGTCCCTGCGCACAGCCTCCAGGCCCTTGCAGTCCATGCGGTCATGGGCATCCGGCCGAGAGGAGAAGAGCAAGCCTGCATAGCGCTTCTTGCTGATGAGCAGGTAGGGGAAGTAGACCTGGGGGATCCCAAGTCCAGAGTCGCACGGTGAGGCTCGGGGCCCGTGGGCCAGCTCACACCAAACCCCAAGCCCAAGCACATGGACCTGGGGTCCATACCCACTCACAGGGCCCCTGCAGCCCTGGGTGGGACTGCCCAGCAGGCTTCTGGGGTTGTCTGCTTTAGGGGAGCCGCCTGCCTCATCCTCTTCCCGAGGGCAGGCTGATGGATTCCAACCAGTGACTTCGCATCTGGCAGCCTTATACAGAACCCACGGAGGCACCAGCTCTCCTCTCCAAAAACCAAAACCAAACGCCCATTGCCATCTCAGCGGCCCTATTGGACAGGGTAGAATTGCCCCTGTGGGTGGGTTTCCCTGATTGTAACTGTTCACAGGTGCAGAAAGTCTCATCTTTCTGTCCAGGAGCAGCTGGTGGTCTCGAACCGCTGACTTTGTGGCTAGCAGCCCAATACGGAACCCACAGTGCCACCAGGGCTCCCGCGTTGCTGAACTAAGTCAGGTGCAGACGAAAGAACAGACATGATCTTGCAGTAGCCATAGGCAGTGGGGGCTGGATGGTGGTGGGGTGGGGTGGGTGGTGGGGTTGTTGGTTGGTAAGCTGCTCTGGATGGGCCTGGCTGTGGCGGGATAATGTGGTCAGGGAGAAAGACAGCAGGCACTGCGGGACAACCTGAAGACCAGGAGCCAAGTCCCGGAACCAAGTGGGTCGCCCCATCTTTTGTCTCGTGTTCAGCGCCGTCATAAAGACCTGGACCCAGGCTCACCGCACGCCACCGCGCTGCTCTCTGCAGGCTGAGGGCGCGCTATTGAAATCCACGGACGGTTGGGGTGATGAGGTCTGCCCGGCTT